TCTGGGTTTTCCATCAAAGTCAACGGGGTTTTGCAATTAGAGCATGAATTTAAAAGCATACCTCATTACATGAATGCAGAAGAAAATGCTTTCCCTAGTATTTTATAGAATTAAATTCTTGTTCTTAAATACATTTTTGTAAAGTAACCTACAGTAAACAAAGATTTATTGTTACATTAATAAACAATGAGACAATTACAGCCTCTTTACAGAGACCATATTAGTCATGCACGTCTAATGAAGCATTACTAAGCTATCACAGGGAGATAGCCTGATGTGTGTGATTAACAAAATAATACTCATAAATAGCTAATGAACAATGATGGTCCTTTAAAAATGGTGCATATCCTGCTATATGGAGAGTTATGGGGTTTGTTGCTTTCTAAGGAGCACATTAACCGCCAGGCTCCACCCTGAAAAGGAGCATATTAGATAGCATAATGCAACTATTTGCATTTTTGCTTTCTGCAGAGCATCCTTTTGAAAATATAAAAGCACTCCTATGAAAGCCAACGAGTGCAGCACACAGTTCAGCTTGTGTGGTACTCTGGTTGAAAGATGACATCTTGAGATGGCACCATGGTGTAGGGGGAATACAGCAGAACAAATGGGCAAAAATTATTTTCATACAACATGCAGGCATGAAATCCCCGAAGTAGCAGTGGGTAGAAAAAGTTTGGATTTAGTAATAAGTGTGGTGGTTTTTAAATTTTAAATAAGATCATATCTTCCCTTAAAATTATGTGCATATTTGGAAAATGGATTCTGGAGAAGTGAAATGGTACAGATGGCCCACAAGAAATAGAAGAAAAAAGGGTACATTTATTAGAAAAAAAGAAAAAAAGGGTCAAAGCCCATGTGTAAGGACTATTTTTAGCACGCAGCAGGAGAGCATCCTGTTAGTCAAACTAAATGCAATTTTGGATTACACAGCTAATTTTGGAAATTTAACAGCAGCACAATGGTGTAGGGGGATGGTCATCCTTTTTGCTCTTCATCATAAGATGGAAAGCCAGACTGGATCTATTGCTAATGCTCAATTTCACTGATTTTTTCCTATACGATTATCATTTTTTGAAGGATTTTTTTTAAACGGAAGAACATGGAACATGTTCCAAAACGCTTTTTTTGTTTGTTTTTGCATCTGACATAGAGCAGGAGCTGAGTTAGTCTACATACAGGGTGCACGAACTGCAGACTTATAGGGTGAACTTTGCTGAGCAGAGCCTTGCCTATGGCTTTCTAAATACCCTGACTAGTATCTGAAAAGTGTATGAAGGAGCTTTTTAGACTAATCAATGGAACAGAATTAAGGAATATATGAGCTGAGTGTTATTAATATTATTTAGGGAATTCCTTTTGCAGTGCTACAGATGCACGAAGTTGCCTTGTGTCTGCAGTGCAAACTCACAGCAAATCCTTGAGGTTTTCTTGGTGAGATAAATTCTTCCCAAATGTTATTCCATTTTCAGCCAAACCTCTCTTCATGGATAAATTTACTCAAAGGGCAGAATTCCTGATAGCTCGAATAATGACATTATTAAAATCAATATTATTTGATGAATATTATGTCTGCAACCCATCAGAGCTGTAACGTACAGGGGGAAAAGCCATGCTTATGATTTTCAGTAGTAACCCACGTACAGACCTTCATCTGTAATGAATTATGGAGCAATTCTCCTAAATCATTTGTATGAAGTCAGCTATGACATTGCCAATTTTTAAAAAATTTGCTAGTTTTGAGCTACAAATTGATTTTTTATTGTGATAAATTAAAATCCAATAGTAGCCTACAAGATACTAACATACAGAAGCCTACATTTCTTCAGAATATTTTTTTCTCTTTTATGTCACATCAGACTGCCACTGTGGCAGACATGACAGCAATAGAAAATGATAAAAACTAAGAAAGGGCATTCTAGAGAGCTAAGTAGCCCTTCTAAACAAACAACAAATGAGCACTGTGACACAAAACATTCTTTTGGGAATCCCGAAATTACAGAAACACAACTAAGGGAGGAAACCTTGGCAAAGGACTAGAGGGCAGTTAGAAGAAAGCACATGTAAAATTGCCCAGGCTGTTCCCTAGAGAGGGCATATTTTTCTCTCTGTTGCACAAATCTCAACATCAGTCTCCCAACTTTATAAACTATTAAGTTTATGTGGATATCAGAAGATCTATGAAAGCAGAACACAACTTTTTTTTGCAGTCCCTTTCCCTTCCTTCCCATCAAGAGTCAGGCTGAGCAGTCACACATCCCCAGTTTCATCAGCCTGAGAGCTTCCCTATCACTTCTAAGTTGAAAACGAGATTATCAGTGCCTGGCACCGCCCAATTGCATTGCCCTTACTTCTTTCCTTATAGGAAGCTCTACTTTATAGCAATAATGCACCTTTCTTTGGGGGTGTTGTTAGCATCCAAATATCAAAGTTAGCCTACGTAGATGGTCTTATTTACTGCTAGAACAGCTCGCATCTCTTAGCATTACACCACAATTAACCACAGCCAAATGAGTGAGACATTACACATCACCCCTAAGGTAATCACCCCTAAGGGCATCCCCTAAATACTTGCCTCATGCTGTAGCAAGCACCTTGCAATACGAGTGCAGAGAGCAGAGACCTGTCGGTGTCCAGCACAGCCTCTTGCTGATGCTGCTGATGTGTCTGAGATGCTGGGGCTGCATGTGGCTACCAGCAGGAACACAAATGGGATGGCAACTACAGGCTAGACGGGCTGAGTGGGTCAGGGACGTGAAACTGAGTTTGGGACACAGGGAAAGCCAAGCTGTGGATGTAGCTGAAGGGATGGTGACTGCGAGGGGCTGGCAGAGAAGTCCATGCATGCTGGCTTTCAAAAGCTTGGAACAAAAATCACGACTCTCCTGCTTTCAAAAAGCCACATAAAACCTGATGGCAAAATCACCCTGCATCCCTTTGTCATGGTCCTGTTTCAAGAATGACAAGCCAATAGTCCTGTACATCACTCCAGCAGCTCAGGGGCAGACATCTGGAAGGTGGATTTAAAGCTTTCAGCCTATGCCTCAGTGAGTGAGTGACAGGGTTGCTATAAGGATGATATAGTTATGTCAGATTTAGAGTACAGGGTGTCAAAGTTATGAAATCTTCGAAGGAGACTTGTCATGTCCCCACCTCACTAGCTGCAGATATGAGAGTGTGTGGGACACTGCAGGAAAGGCAATTTGGATGAACTATACCTGTATTTCTAAACGCGTTGCCTTTTCTCAGTGCCATCTTAGGAAAATAAACGGAATGTTTGTGAAACACTCAGAGCTCAGTGCCGCAGGACGAGTCTCTCTCTTTATTCTTTTTTATTTCCCCAAGAAACGACTAAACAGCAAGTAACTACTGCCTTATTGCCCTTTTCACAGAGTGCAGTAAGGCAGCAGGCTGAACATGGAAGAAAAAGAAAACAAAATATGAATATACCATTCATGGAGTGAACGTGAATGCTGCTCTGTGCACCGAGTGAAACTGATAGTCTCTAACAAAACACACACAAAAAAGGGAAGTTATGTCATCATGTAATTAAAAACTATTGTAATGCCTGCATATTAGAGGACCCAACCACGACTGCACTGGCAGCCTAATCCTGACATTTCCTATCTTCTGAGCACAGGCTGTAACCTCAGCAATGTTCTCCTAAACACTGCTTTTGTATGCATACTTTGCACATGCTGTACACAACACTTTCCAAACGAGCTTTTCATCACTAACTGCTTGTATTATGTATCAGTGAGCTCAATGACATTGATTTTCTAATAATATAAATTAACTGGCAAAGATAATTTCATCTATCATCAGTAGGGTTTTATTTCTGGCATCATGTTAAATAGTTAATCTTTCAAAAGATTAAATCAAGAGCCTTTTAAAATTCAAGGCAGAGCTAAAACTGCTGTAAAAATCTTCCTAATTAGGATTAAAATAGTTTGTGTGTTGTGTCTTTATATCTAAGTAGTATAATGTTTTGCTTAGATTTTCTTCTTTCAAAGCAGTTTAAAAAAAAAAATCAGACATGCTAATTCTGTGGCAAAAAATAAAATAAATGCATGCGACACGGTCATCTGCAATTTCCTTGACCTGGGCAAGTTGCTGCTTGGAAGCCTCAAACAGCAACCTCAAATTTTCAGATATCTTGTACCTCCGATTCCATACAATATACACATTTTCTACCAGTGATGATAAAAAAACTGTAAATTCTCATGTTTACTGCTTATCTGACAACAGACTGTCATTGCTGCTAAGAGGACTATAGTGCGTTGTGGTGACGATGACCACATTGATCTGGAGTTACAGATCTGCAAGAAATTCTTACAATTCCTCTGGGACACCTGAGGCAATCCCAGCTCTGAGCTTGCTGTCCTTCCCCTTTCCCTGACATCAGTGGGGAAAATAAGCTTCACCCTCTTGGTCTTGCCCACAGCTCTCTGTCCTAGCTTGTTTTCTTCCCATGGCACAAAGGCCTCAATCCAAGCCAGTCCCAATCCTAATCCTGACAAGGATTAGGATAGGCTCTCAGAAGTAATTTGCCCTGTACTGCCAAGGCTGGACAAGAAAACCCATACGGACACAGGTACCAGTCTGTAACTTGGACCACTGAAGTCTTTTCCAAATGGGGAGATGATGACTCCAAGAAGCAATTTTGTGATCTGGCGGAAGGAAAGCAGATCCTCTCCTGCCCCTTTCTGGACCCAGAGCTGTGACTGTTTATGCACCTAAGGAGCATTTGTGTACTCAAGTAATTTCTTCTGCAGAAGTAGCCAGGACAAAGCTTTACAATAAACTGCATCCCCGTGCTACACTTTACACCTCAGTCATCTAATGGCTTGCTCTGATATATGATAACCCTTTATCAAGCTTGTCAGATGCTTTATGTGTGCCCACATTGGTGAGATATTACTGTCCAGCTAGGAAATATTTTTAAAGGAACAACCATGAAAACATTCAATTTTGTTCCATTGTACGATCGTTTTACTTACCCCTGTCTTTTCGTCAAAGATTTTGATTCCTCCAAAGGAGACTGTTAAGAAGATTTTCTGTTTATGCTCTCCTTTCGAACGAGCCGCAGCAACAATTCCCTATAGAAACAAAGAACAGGTTGGCTGGTTTCATTATTCCCCTCGTTTTGTGTTCCGAGAGGTGCCCACACCAAAGCACAAAGATTTGCTTGTGGGCGATTCATCGCCTCTTGGGGAATACTTAAGGGCTTTTCAGGAGCAGTACCCTGCTTGTTTTTGCCTTCCTCCTTTTTTTTTTTTCAAGGTAGCGCATCCTTTTTATGCTACCCACAGACCATTGCAAATGTGCTCCCACTTCCAATCCCTATACTAGCTAATCCTCTGTGAAATTTGTTTTCATGGAAGCTGAAGGTCATTTCTAGAGCACTTTTTCTAGCTGTAAGCTGTTCTGTTTTCCCTTAAAAAAAAATAAAAGAACAAAAAACAACAAAAAGCCAACAGCAACAACAACAAAAAAACAGAACAAGCAGTGAAGGAAAAAAAAAAAAAGTCCATGCCTTTAGCGTACTTCATGGATACACACTTACCTGGAATAAGCAAACTGAACCTTTTATAGAAGAAAAATGTTCATTACTAAATCAAACTACACAACTACTGTAAAAAAACACTGGCATACAGAGGTATTTTTTTCATGATCTCAGGCTTTTACTTTGTAAGTGAACTTGCTGATACACAATTCATATATTATCCTTCCGCAGCATAGCTATAATAGTATCTCCTATTTCCACCCTCTCAGGAGCCTGGCTGCCTTGATCAATAACACTGTACTAAGATGAAATGTAATCAAATTAAATAGTAAATAGCAAATAAATAAGTGTTTAGCCTTTATCTGATGCTCTGCAATTTCAAAATGTTTTAAGACCTTACAGAGGTCATTGTTTCCATTACACAGACATGAAAATTAGAGAAAAATTGAGTGATTTGTCAAAAGTTCCCCCAGAACATTATTCCTGGCCCTAAAACTCCTGTTGTTAGATACTTAAAAGTGTCCTAGTGCTAAGGTGCCTTACATACAAACAGGAATTTCTAATGATTCCTTCCCTGAAGACTTTCAGTCATCTCACAGTACTGTTTGGATCAATCCTGCCAGTAAGCAAACAGGTATCTTGCATATTGGTGGTGTGAAAATGGTAATCCATAGAGGAAGGAAACAAAAAGGCCCAGCAGAACAGTGACAAGTCCACCGAATTGCTTCTAGGAATTATGGAAGGATGTGAAATACCCAGAGTGCAATCAAAACAGACACAAATATTGTGGCAGATGTGGTAAGTCTGTAGAACACCTTTTAGAACAGATTAATTTTTGCCTGTCATGAAATGTTAGCAACTGATTTGTAAATTATCTACCAGATCTTTCTTTTAGATTGCTGAACCATGGGATGTGTGTCACTCTGTGCTGTTTGCTCACGAATAAGCAACCTGTACTTGCCTGTTCCCCAAGACTGGAACCTATGCTCTGTCCTCTCAGGGCATGACCTCCTGATTTTGTAACCCTTCAGTCCTGCTGTTACGGGTACAAGACATTCCCCTCTCACTGAGGATACCAGTTCCCCTGTATCTCACCCCTTACACCCCACACCATCACTCCCCCTTCCTGCCTGTCCCCACAGGAGCTATAGTTCAAGGTAAGGCTGTAGTTGATTAGCACTGTCATAGCAAGTGTTCTGATGTATTATTTTTGCTCGTAGTGGTTTATCTCCCCTTTTGCATACTAAAACTATTCAATTTGTGGATGTGTTGTTTATAATTTGCGGACAAATTGCAGTGGTGTCAATCATGAACAACTGCTGAACTCTGAGACAACCTATTAAAATTAAACTGGGATAAGCAATACCAGCCAGGAGTTCATGTACAATTGACTGACTTCGATACATAATTAACCAGAGCGTGATTCAGTGTCAGGAAAAGAGAATGAGTGAAAGTTCAGGCTGAAATTTGCTCCCCTTGACGTTGTAATGTTAAAGATTAAAAGTGGCACCGCACCTTGAGCTTCATCATGGAGTCTTGGCATAACTTGTCTCCTCGGGCAGCAGAAACCTCGTCTATCCCAATCAGTTTTGCTTTGTATCGGACACCGTCACCCTTAAACCTCTTTATTAAAGTGGCTTCACTGCGATCCTGACCTGAAAAGACATAAGGGAAAAGGGAAATTTGCAGGCGTGTAAAGGCAAATGAATGAATAAATACTCCCAATTAAGTGGCAAATTAGATCCAACTCCTAGCTCAACACCTCAGCATGTGAACATTTGAATAAAATTAGAAGAAATGTACAAGTTCAATAAAACCTTTTGACCTTACTACCTCAAATGAATTCACAGTGGAATTGTTGTCATACAAAATCTCCTGCACTGAATTTGCACACAAATGAGGTTTACAGAAACACGAGATAAGCCTGAATCAGACCTCATGGATCTGAAAACTTCTGATCTGTATGGGTTGTTTTAATCCCCATACACTTGAGAATTCTTCATTTTGCAGACAAAACTGTAACAGAAATCCGCTGCTATTTCCTTGTACACCAACTTATCTAACCGTGTCAGCAATATTCCCACTATTACTATTTAAATAATGAAAAAACAAATGATGTTATTTGCTTGAAGAATATTACAGAATCACAGAATTTCTAGGTTGGAAGAGACCTCAAGATCATCAAGCCCAACCTCTGACCTAACACTAACAGTCCTCCACTAAACCATATCCCTAAGCTCTACATCTGAACGTCTTTTAAAGACCTCCAGGGATGGTGACTCCACCAAGTCAAAAACCAAGATTTCTGTGCTGGCACCAGCCTCTGAGCCATTTCTCTCAGGCTTTACCCTCAAAGCTTCAAATTCCACTCTAAGTGTCTGCCACACTGAATAAATATCACAGTCCTGCCCGCAGGTAACTTAATGCAAGGCAGAAACACCCCAGGAAAGCTCTGCTTGCACCACATAGCCATGCCAAGCACAGCCCAGGGCCCACAGACCACAACCTCCCCGAGCACTCAAGCTTTGCCATAAGGAGGTTGGCCACCTTAACAAATGCAAACAGGGCAAAATCAATTCTCCCTACATCTCTTGAAGACAGAGCAGGAAGTTTTCTCCATTTCCAGTTTGCCTCTCCTGACTTCTCTCACAGTGGATACTCACCAACAGGACAGAAAAATAAGGAATCCAGTTAGAAAGGTCCAAAGGCAAAAGAAGCAAGTCGGCAGCAACGATACTGCTCAGTGCAAACAACTTGTCTGAAACCACAGCCTGAAAACTGTGCTAACCATACTTTCTTACCCTAAACCCAAATTTGGAGTCTCAGTTGTCCAGAAACAAGTATAAACAATGCTTTCCTCCTCACTACACAATTATCACTTTTGTAAGAGCCAAAAAGCACACAATATTCCTAGCTATCCTGAACCTAACAGCAGCACAGAATTCTTTGTCGTAAATCAGATGTCCTAGTACAATTACTTATACAATGCTTTTTATTTTTTTCCCCCTTTAGAAGCCCTTGTAATGTCCAGTAACTTCATTATACACCAAAAAACACCTCTCGACATTGCGATAAGCATGCACAAGTTCTTCAAACTCTTCTAACATAAACGAAATGGGCAAATTAGTGATGCACAGCAAAGCATCCATTGGTTGGAGTTGCACAGATATTTCTTTTCCCCAAAGAGAATACTGGTGAAATTTCCAAATCACATTTTGAGCCTGCTCTCCATTTAACAGAGTAACAAATGCTGTAAGAGACCAAAACAAGTTACGTGACTTACTACTTAGAAATAAGTGCTATAGCCCCCCTCGCCTCTAAGAAAAAACAACACAAAACCCAGCAGTAGAAGTTAGAGGAAAAATAAGAGTTTGGGATTTACTCTGAAGACACAGTACATATAAAGAAATGCTGCAATATACACTTAAAAATCTGAATACACAAAACCTCACTACTTGTAACACGACAGAATTTTACATCGGGGAAACAAAAAGTAACTACGTTTTCTACTTAGGTCAACATATTGGTGACTCAACTACATTTCTCTGAAGGCAGCATCCATACATTCTCACCTAGGGATTTACCGCATCTTTTCTGCATTTTGAGTCTCTAGTATATTTCCCAAAATTGCAGAATCACAGACCGGCTGAGGCTGGAGGCCAACCCCTGCTCAAGCAGGACCACCAGAGCTGGGTGCCCATGACCATGCCCAGCCGTCTTTTGAAGACGTCCAAGGACAGAGACTGAGCCACCTCTCTGGGCAGCCCGTGCACAGCACCAAAACATTTCCTGATGTTCAGAGGAAACCCCCTCCAGGTTTTGCTTTGTGCCTGCTGCCTCTTGCCATCTTCTTGCCACCCTCTATAGAGGATGTAACAGTCTGCAGTGAATCAAGCAGATGGAAGATCATTTACGGGTTTTGTTCTTGAGTCCCACTCGAGGGTGCAGCACAGGACAGCCACTGGCAAAATCTTTGGTTCACGTAAGAGAAAGAACAATGCAAGTCTACAGCTCTGGCTGAGACATCCTCAGCACTGTCAGGCACTTGTGGACACAGGGTTGGGCACTGGACATCTTTCATACCCAAAGTGTGAAGTATCACCTCCAGACAGCAAACATTTCTCTGCTGCAATTGAGCCTTCAAGCCCACGAATCACAGCAGCAAGTACCACACGAATCTTTAAAATGTGGCAGTGGGTAGGCAGTGCCTGCAGGATTTGATGCTTTTTTAACCTTTGCTGAGCTGCTGATCTTCAAACCGATCTTACAGATGCTGAATTTCCCTCCCCAGAATTACAAGTGGCTGTTGGTTGTTGTTATATTTTTATTTTACTTTATTTTATTTAACTGCTTCTTCTGCTCAGTGGGCACGGGTCCTGGTAATGCCATGGCCATGTCACAGGGGACAGAATGTTGGCGGTGGCCATGTCACAGGGGGAGCAGCTATAAAAGGGCCGCAGCAGGCCAGTCCGGCCAGTCCGGCCGAGGAGCCGCCAGATGAGTGTGGGCTGAGGAGGGAGAGGAGAGGCCCCCCATGGCAATGAAGGCCGGCCGCTCCCCTCCAGCTGGTTTTTTTTTTTTATTATTTATTATTACAGAGAGAATCCTGGAAAAGGACAGAGCAAGACCATGGCTACAGCCTTCTTCCAGCACTCCGCTGGAAGTGTCAGCTTCTACAGGAGAGATCCCTGGACTCCACGGCCACATGATAAGGAAGGTCACTCCCCTCCATTGGCCAGGAAGGTCAACTCCCAGCCCCTTCCCATATTGTGCCGCTGGCACCAACCCCACTGATGTCTTGTTGCCCGTATTTGCTTCTCTCCTAGCCTCACCGCTGGACACGAGCCCAGGACATAACATTCGACAGGAGAGATCCTTGGACTCCATGGCTAAGGAAGGTCAACTCCCAGCCACTTCCTATATTGTGCCGCTGGCACCAACCCCACTGATGTCTTGTTGACTGTATTTGCTTCTCTCCTAGCCTCACCGCTGGACACGGGCCCATGACACGACAACATTCTCCTGGAGAGATCCTTGGACTCCACGGCCACATGATAAGGAAGGTCAACTCCCAGCCCCTTCCCATATTGTGCCACTGGCACCAACCCCACTGATGTCTTGTTGCCCGTATTTGCTTCTCTCCTAGCCTCACCGCTGGACACGAGCCCAGGACATAACATTCGACAGGAGAGATCCTTGGACTCCATGGCTAAGGAAGGTCAACTCCCAGCCCCTTCCCATATTGTGCCACTGGCACCAACCCCACTGATGTCTTGTTGCCCGTATTTGCTTCTCTCCTAGCCTCACCGCTGGACACGGACGTGAGCCCATGACACGACAACATTCTCCTGGAGAGATCCTTGGACTCCATGGCTAAGGAAGGTCAACTCCCAGCCCCTTCCCATATTGTGCCACTGGCACCAACCTCACTGATGTCTTGTTGCCCGTATTTGCTTCTCTCCTAGCCTCACCGCTGGACACGGACGTGAGCCCATGACACGACAACATTCGACAGGAGAGATCCTTGGACTCCATGGCTAAGGAAGGTCAACTCCCAGCCCCTTCCCATATTGTGCTGCTGGCACCAACCCCACTGATGTCTTGTTGCCCGTATTTGCTTCTCTCCTAGCCTCACCGCTGGACACAGGCCCATGACAAGACAACATTCTCCTGGAGAGATCCCTGGACTCCATGGCCACATGCTGAGGAAGGTCAACTCCCAATCTTCCCATATTGTGCCACTGGCACCAGCCCCAGGGATGTCAGGCCACATCAGAGTGGGGCTGGTGACAGGGTGGGCCCAGGAGAGGCCTGGTATTAGACGTGGCCGTTCTCTTGTTGCTTCTCTACTTGCTTCTCTCCTAGCCTCACCGCTGGACACGAGCCCATGACACGACAACATTCGACAGGAGAGATCCCTGGACTCCATGGCCACTTGCTGAGGAAGGTCAACTCCCAATCTTCCCATATTGTGCCACTGGCACCAGCCCCACTGATGTCAGGCCACATCAGAGTGGGGCTGGTGACAGGGTGGGCCCGGGAGAGGCCTGGTAGTAGACATGGCGGTTCTCTTGTTGCCTGTACTTCTCTCCTAGCCTCACCGCTGGACACAGACACGAGCCCATGACACGACAACATTCTACAGGAGAGATCCCTGGACTCCATGGCCACATGCTGAGGAAGGTCAACACCCAGTCCCTTCCCACGCTGTGCCGCTGGCACCAACCCCACTGATGTCACGGCCACATCAGAGTGGGGCTGGTGACAGGGTGGGCCCAGGAGGGGGGTGGCACAACACACAGGGGTTCGCTTGTTAGTGCTTTTGCTTCTCTGCTAGCCTCAGCGCTGGACATGGACACGAGCCCATGATGCCACGCTCCTGGCCGCCTCTCCTTGACGCACCGCTGGAGACGCAGCAACATCATACGGGAGAGTCCTACAGAGGAGCAGATGGTGCCATCAGCTGCAGATGAGAATTCTGCAACACCCCACACTTGCTATATGAACTTGTCTATATGCAACCTTTTCTTAATAAAAGAACTTTTCTTAATAAAATGTAATTTTGAGAACCACTATGAATTGTGATGAAGTATCGTTTAGCTGTTTCCTGCTGATTTCCTGTATGCTGTTCTCCGTTAAAGACCAATGGAAACTT